GGAAGAATATGACAAATATGTTTCTTTTTTTGGACAAACACATTTTAATTAACGTGGCATTTTTTTTAATATTGAGAGTTAAAAAATAGGGAAATGATTTTTGGACAATATTTTTATATCACCTTTTAATGCAACTTGATGTGTAATTAAAATGATTAGTTCTTTTAATTTATATGTGACTCGTAATATTAAATACATCTACTCATTTAATGATAAGTCAAAATTGTATCAAAAGGTGATATAAAAAGGTTGTTTCTATAACATTACTTTAAAAAATACGACATTTTAAATAGAGGATTTTGCCACATCAGCTCTTAATTGAGAGGACTAAATTGATACCAAAAATTGAAGTTTGAGGGTATTTTAGTACTTTTTAAAGTTGAAGGATAAATTTGATTCAAAAATAAAAGTTGAAAGACAAATCGGGTATTTAACCAGTTGCAATGTTAACGCTTATCCTTTTTTTTTTTTTTTCTTAAAAGGCGAATATCAAATTTATTATTAATAAAGTATAGTAGAGTACAATAGAGTCCAATGAATATTTCTACCTATAACTTGCAACATTAACGCTCATCTAATCCTAACATCCCAGTACCATATATAGGATAATTAATATGCTAGGAACGTAGGAAATACCAGTATTACCATACGTACGTATCAGCACTGTAAACGCGTGAAAAGAAATACGAAAGAATAGATGAATCATAAAAGAGTGTTCACATGCTCCAATTCCACCCAAAACACTTTTTTATTTTTTTGGTAGGGAAGAATATGACAAATATGTTTCTTTTTTTGGACAAACATATTGTGAAGGCTAAAAGTCTTTGACACACAGTATTTTTGAAAATTCAAAAGCAACCAGAATTTAGGATATGCACATGTTAAAGGTGACGTGCTTAGTTTGGGTATACATTGAAGGCATGTCTGGAGTGTGTCCTAACTAAATTTTTCTCTAAATTTCTTCCATCTAAATGAATTCTGTTGTAATGTGATTTAATTGTTACGTCTAGTTACAATATTTATAATAGGCAAAACCCCATAGATTGCCCTTCAACTTTTCGAGTGTATAGAACTTTACCTCTCATCTTATAATATGTGATTTTATACCCTTTTGATATGCTTTATACTCTCTTGGTATTCGAGTGTGTGGAACTTTACCCATCACCTTGCAACTTTAGGAGGGTATAACATTATAAACTTGAATTTCATGAGGATATAAAATCATAAACCCAAATATCAGGAGGGTATAAAATCACATATTGTAAAGTGGAGGTAAAGTCCCACACACTCAAAAAAGTTCGAAAAAATTGAAAGATAATTTGTGGGTTTTTGCCATTTGTAATGACGTTAAAATTATTTGATTTTGTATTTTTGCGCATTTTAAGTGTTACATTTTTTAAACATTACCTTATTAGAGTTGGTTATGTAATTCTTAAAGTTTTCTTATATTAATAAAATTCTATATATCTCATAAAAAAAATTACTTTCATGAACCTTTCATTTATTCAAGAGTAATGAACCAAATGTTTTGGTCGTGACATTTATTCAAGAGTTTTTTTATTTATAAATTTAGTGCATTCATGAACTATGTTATCACCACCAACCAATAAATTTTTAAATAAAAAAATATAGAGTTTATATCTGGATTTTAAAAAAATTAAAAATTAACAATCTTATCTTGAAAACATAAAATTTGTTTTCTTAAATAGAAATATGGCCAAAATTTATATTATTATTTGCAATTCTACTCCAGCAAGCATAATCAAGAAAGATCTTTGCCATGTGAAGGTCTATCTAACCCTAACTACCGATTATGATTTACCGATGGAGGAGCTTTTCACCTCTATATATATATAAAATAAAATTCTTTATACGCAAATTTTACCCATTATATTTATATAAAATCTTAATTATTTATTTATTTTTTATTTTCAATATCTAAGATTTGTCACAATTTTTTAACTGAAAAAAATAATTATTTTTAATAAGTATAAATAAATTTTAATAATTAAAAATAAAGAGATAAATAATTGAGATTTTATGTAAATGTAATGTGTAAGACTTTTGTGTAAATGAATCTCTACTATATATATATGGAAATATTGTATATCTGTTTTATCTTCTCAGATTACAAAAAAAATTATTCAAAAATTATATTGTTTAAATAAAATTTTATTAAAAAAGATTAAAATATCACATTTTAAAAGACGAATTAAAGTATCCTTTGTCTTTTCTCATGATGTTTATTAAAATAATATAATTTTATAATAATTTTTTTCTTAATTTTTAAGAAATAAGTTGATAACATTAATTTCTAAATATATATATATATATATATATATACAAAATGGAATTTTGTTTTAAGGCAATGACATAAGAATAATCTTTTTATACCACATTTTAATGTAACTTGATGTAATATTAAAATGATTGCTTCTTTTAATTCATATGTGACTCAAGATATTAAATGTATC